TTTTTTTTTTTTTTTTTTTTTACAATGAACCCATATCTCCTTTAGAAGGCTATCAAAAAGAGCATAATTAGATTTAAAGGATGGGTGTGGGTACATATTTCGTTGAGGGTTTTCCTACAGTTCTCCCCCCGCTTCCCTGTAAATCATTTGAACACTGTGAATACTTGCAATCTAATTGCCAGTGAGTAAAATCAGAAAGTAATCAATTTCTTCTAAGCAACATCGCAGAAAGGATGTTGGATTGGAGAAAACTAACTTTCCAGTTTAGCTTGATTCCTTTTAGGTTCAGTGGAGAAGAATGGCCTGTTATCAGCGGTGAAGGCGGGTTCAGTTACAATTGATCCAGGTAGCCTCTCAGTTGTGTTTACACAACCACCTTAATCAAGGTCAATTAAAGACCTAGCTGATGCAGGTGCAAAACCTGCTAACCGTGGTTAATTTGCATGCATGTAGCTTAGCGTGTTGCACAAACGCAGCCTGTAGGGTTAGTTTCATTTGCATAATAAATATGCACACTCAGCCTGTGCGTTTAATAAATCAATGAATCAATAAAACTCAGAAAATGGGTTAACTTATTACCAGGTCGCGTGTATTGTGAAGACAGTCCTTTGTTCAACCTCTTGGGCTAGCCTTGCCAATGAGATTTTTGATTCATTGACTGATTGATTAAATTTATATAGCCGCCCCTATCATGTGTTAACTCTGGATGGTGTATGTTGTCGAAAAGCCAAAAACCAACTATTCCAAAGAATCAAAACCAAAATCATTAAAAATACAATGAAAACCGTTAAAAACTAGAATAAAAACATGGGAGAGTGTATTCTAAACATTAGCACAATGCAACCATTTAACGGGCTCCACACTTCCATGGCCCGATATGAAACCTGGTTTTAAGGGCCTTCCGATCTCACCCTGGATTCTTTTTCATCTCAACCTGCTATGTGAACCCGTTTCTTTCACTCTCCACCCCTCCCCCTAGCCGTGCGACACGTAGATCCTTTACCGACCTGCATCACACTTGGGGCAGCATTCCCCTCCTATTGAGTATTCCCATGTTTCACAGGGATGGGCATCTTGAAGGAGCAGCAAGTGAATAGTGAAGACAACATGAAGCACCTTTCATAGAAAAGAAGAAGAGAAGAAACCCGTCGGTCCTTTGCCTCGCTCAGCAACGAACCTACCGTCTCGCCAACCTCCGTTCGGACGTAACACGCAGATTTTTGTTTGACCTTGCCTGCAAAGAATTGATTTCTTGCTTCCAAAGATAACTGACATACTGAATCTCATTGGCTTAATTCTGCAACGCTTCGACCTCACCTGCATCAATTGAAGTCATTTTAAGGGGAGAACAGATTCCTTGAGCCCCCCCCCCCCAAGTCTTAACAGTTCTGGGAATGTTTTGCAAGGCATAGGACATTTTCATGCTTCATCTACACCAAAGCGTTCCTCTTTCTTTTGCCTTTCAATTAACTGAGAGGTGTTTCCCCAGGCGGGTAGGAATAGGACAAGATTTCATCTGATTTGATTTAAATGGACATTAAAACTAACTTCTTCATTCCTTATCTCCATGCATTTGATGGACACCTTCTGGGGTAAAACTGACAATTACCAGCAATGTGTGCACTGTCTGCCAGCTGAGAAAGGCTGTGCACTTCCAGCCTACAGCAAGGATAAATCACTTTGCACCCTCCAGATGTTTTGGACCATAGTTCCCATAAACCCCAGCCAACAGGATATGTGGAAAATTTTGGGTCCTATAATTCAAAGATCTAGAAGGCATCGAACACCTTCTTTTTCATCTTGATTAATCGCTGTTGACCAGCCAGGTAGAAATTTGTATGGGCAGGTGACAATTCCACTCCTTTTTTTCATTTCTAAAAAAAAAAGTGATTGATATTCACCTGTTGATTCAGGATTAAGGCATGTAGCAAAGATAAAGGGTAGGAAAACAGAGTGCAATCAAAGAATCTGGTCTCAAAACTCCTTTATGCAGTTCAATTCCTGCCTGGACCTTGTTTTCCAAGCCCAGCTTACTCAGAAGAAAAGAATTATTTCTGGACTTTGCACCAGGGTGTAACTTCTGGTGTCTGTAGTTCATTTCCTACTCACTACATTCCCACCACATCTGAACAGTAAGGTAGAAAGAATAAAAATTAAAGCCCCCCCCCAATGCAATTTACAGAATTGAATCAAGAACTCTTACCTTTGATGGCATGTTTGTGATCCAGGTGTGCATGTGAATCCACTGAGCAAACACTAGTATGAAAAAATATATATTCAAACTTAACTTTTGACATTTGGTATATTTTTGTTTTTCTTCCTGAAAGCTAGAAGGGGTAATTCGAGTGCGCCTGGATGGCCACAAGGTTGAAGGCCTCACACTCGTCCACCAAACGGATGCTTTCAAGAAGCAGGCTGGAGGAAGGATCACCTGATGGCCTAGATTCCATCTCAATTCTGCCTCAGAAAAAGTTAGAGCTGGAATAAATCAAGGGCGGCTCCCTTTGGGACTGGCTGGGACCATTACTCTTGTTTTCAATGACTTTAGAAAGTTCTGGACTTTTGGACGGGGATAAATACACCCAAAGATATACTGTAGATAATCTGGTTGATATTATCTCCATCCTTTTTAACTTTTACCTCTTGTTCCTGGCTCTCTGTTCCTGTTTATGCCTGTGTCTCCTTCTATCCTATTTTGCCAGATTTTTTTTCCCCCAATGTTTGCCAGGTTTAGTAAATAAGCCAGCTGTTTTCCCATTAAAATCCCAATCTGCCATTCCCAAACAAACTTGTATTTCAGTCTGTAAAAGGAAACCACCCTCTGACCTATAGCCACTCAAATGAAAAGGTTTGAATGATGTCTTTCCAGGGATAAAGACGTGTTCAGGACATGGCGCGAGCCAACATTGTGGAAGGAAATGGCCATTAGCCACAATGGATGAAATGTTCCTGTTTGGAATTCTGTTCCTGACTGACATGCAATCATCTTCCTGGATATGATGAGATTGGGTGGCTGGCGGAGGCAACTCCTAACCTGGCTCCTGATCTCCGACTTTTCCCAGCAATGAGAACTTTTATTTACATTTATTTAATCTTCTGCTCCAGCTGGCTGATCTACAGAGCTTGCAAAACAACCCACTGGGTTTCTCATCTTGGAAATGACCCAAAGCCTCTTTTCCACATCTCTCCAAGGCGACAGAGGCCCGTACAACCCTCAGTTCAGAAGGAGGTCAGAGCAATGGAAACGCACGGATAAAATTCCAAACAGCCCATCTCAAATTTGAGAAGGAGGTTTGCTTCTCCGGGTTGCAATATTTGACCTGTAAGGTGTTAAAATAATCATCTCTTCCAGCTTCCTGTTGTTCCTGTTCCAAATTTGGTTGTGAAAAAGCAAGGCAGCCTACAGCTTTAGGAGACAGGCCATCTGGAACTTGGACTTAGAGAACCTTGTTTATTTTCCCTACAAAAAAAAATCTAGGATCAGGTTTCTGGCAATATTTGCCACAGCTTTCTTTTCAAGGGCCTTTCTGCCAAAGTCCGTAACTGGTGGCTTCCGGGAGCAAATATTTAGAAATCTTGAAATATTTTTCCCCAGCAACATCCAAAAATGCACAGATGGGAGAACACTGCATATCCAAAAGGACCACGTTGGAGAAAAGAGATATCCAAAAACCTGACGTGCAAGCCCGATACCAACTTTCTCATAAGAAACGTCCATTTCTGTGCAGAAAAGTTGGGAACTTTGACAAAAGGCACCAATGGTTTGAATGTTGCTCTGTTGTAGTGTCGGCCTGACGGGCTGTTTGTGTTTGGGGAGGCCTCTCTTGCCTCGGATAAAAACGTGCCCCAATCTGTTGGTCATCCCGTTGACCAACAGTTGAAAGTAAGATAGGCTTTACTTCTAATTACCCATGCACAGCACTAACTAGCTGGAAGAGACTTCTAAATTTTGCAAGAAGATTTGGATGTGAGAGTTGGCAAGAACCTTCATTTTCCATGTTTTCACGAGAGGGAACGTTGTCTCTTCTCTATTTTTAAAAGAAAAAAGGAACTGGGCAATTCCTGGTAAGTGCAATCAGCTGTTGTACAATCACTGCCTTGTAACAGTTGCATAAATATTAACTAACAGGATTACATGATCCTGTGTGGCCTCCAATTCCACTTTTTTCAGATACAGGCAAGTCTCATTTTAACTGATAGTTAAATAGGAGCATGTGTATTGAAAAAGAGCAAGGAAAAAGGTATATGCTCAGCCTTAACATGGAAAGTACAGTAAATAAAACCAAATCAGGATCAAGCCACCACTGTGAAAAAAAAAGAAGAAGAAGAAAAGGAACATATTTACTTAACACTTAACATATTTATTCTGGCAAAAACATTTGCCCAGGATATTAATTTTTTCCCCATTTCTGCTGCACAGGACATCCTGGATACAAAACCAGAATTAGCTGGGTGGATTTTAACAAATGGCTTCACAACTCATCTTCAGGCCACATCTGTCTTGAGTCAGGTTGAAATCCCCAGAAAAAAAAAAAAACTTCAATTAGCAAACGTGTGGTTTCTTTTTTTAAAACACTGCTTTGATCCTTTCGCTGACTTAGGTTCCCTTTCAAGGAAACGGGGAGACTATTAATTTAGAAAGTAAATGCCAACGCTCCAATCTTCCGGCAAAAGTCTAATTCTGCAAAAATCTAATGGAGATCGTTGCTGTCTTTACTTGAAAGCCAGCTGCAGAACATCTGGAGGTACGTGTTTGAAGATGGGGAAATTGTAATCTTAGGCATCAACTTTGCCTGAAAAAAATATTCCTCTCTTCCCCTTTAAACCTGAATATAACAAGGAGCATCCAGGCTGGTGAAAGGGGAAATCTTTTGACCTTTCTGATTTTTTTTAAACATAAATATAGTATTTCCCAGCAGGAAAAAAGAATTCCATTCCAGCTCTGGCCGGACCATAAGTCCCATCATCCCCCATCCTTCAGCAAGGCTCAACAGTTGAAATAATTCCATCCTAGGATGCCCCATGATAATTCATGCGGGAAAGAAAAAAAAGTTCTTTTCTTCTCCACTGGCGTAGGAGAAAGATTAAAGCTGTTCTGTATTCGTGACACCACCGGTATTTTTCTACCTCCCTCACTTCTCCTCCTGCCTTTTGCACGAAGGGAGTGCACGGCCACACGCACACCCACATACAAGAAAAAATGGGGCGTGAAAAAAATAAAAAGCAGTTCCGCGGTGTTTCCAGTTCTTACTCACTCTGCTTTTACTCAGCATTTGGGGCCAAAAATTTCTTTTTCCGGTGAAGGCTGGCAATATTTCCTAAGAAAGAAGAAAAAATCCCCCATCCTAACAAGGAACATTTCCTGTTCTTGCTGCCTTTTCTTCTCATCAGCCAGATTTCTTTCTCTTTTAGTTCTGCTGTTACCCACAAGGAAGTTAAAATGACATCTTGGGATTTTAATTTCTTTGTTTCTTCTTTCTCTTCTCCTTAACTAACGGAAAGCAGAAGGGGGGGGGGATATACACAGTGGTCAGCTGTTCTGGGAAAAGAAAAAAAACGGGTCCACTTGGTGCCTCCAATTAATCCAACAGCTTTCTGGCGAGCCACAAGCCTACTCCGCAGGGACGTTGTGAAAATGGTTCTCGCGGTGGCATCCAGGCCGGCTGAGCGGAGGAAGATAGCGATTCCTTTACCGTGCAGAGCCGTAAAAAAGAGGGAGCTTCTCTTTCGAAAGGTGTTTTAAAGAGGGATCTTTAAACAGGACGAAGGGATAACACGTAGCCCGGCCCACCTTGTTTGGCCCCACCCACCACTGGCTTTGGCACCCCCAACCATTCTTGGGCTGAGTCCCCACGCACACATCACCGATCCGAGAGACTGACCCCTAACTGGGGAAAAAATGACCTATAAAAACAGCCAGACGCACATCGCGCACGTTCTCCCTCCAGCGCCCTGCGTCTTGGAGCTGCGTTCCCACGACACCTTTAAGCCCCTCGGACCGAGATCTACGATGGTGCTTTTTTCGTGGGGGGGTGTCAATCCTTTGCCTGCCTCCGCGAAGGTCACCTCTGTAAACCCTGTTTGGGAAGCCAACTGATCCTCTCTATTTTTATTGTCAGCTCTCCAAGGGCGTCGCTTTCAGGCATTGCGCGCTTTGCAGCCTCCAGCTTCTATTCAAAGCATTTTCGCTTTTGCTTGCGAGTTACTGGAAGGAGGAAGAAAGGAAGCACGGCAGACATCCGCGGCAGGCTGTCGCCGAGCCGTTCAGACAGGCAAAGCAGGATCCCTCCCCTGACGCTGACACCTTCAGAGGCTCCAGCTACCTGTACGGATGCCCTCTGGGTTCCCCTCCTAACGACAGGGGGCAAGCGGCCAGTCCCTGGCGAGGGCTGCCGTGCGCAGAATTGCGAGAATCGTCGCGTTCCCCCCGGATGGGCGAAGCCACCTCCGAGAAAGAGCCACCCCTTTGCAGGTCTCCCCACGTCGTGGGAAGAGCTGACCCTCCTTCCTCCCTGACCCGAGTCTGCTTCCTTGCAGTGCCAGCTCTGGCCCCGGCCTGAAGGGCCTCGGAAAGCTTTCCTAGGGATCCGCTTATATCCCAAACAGGGCTTACCAGGATCATTTTCCCAGCTAGGGCGATTCCAGAGCCAAGGGATCTCCCCGGCCAAGGCTTCTGTCTCCCTTAAGTGCCTTTGGTTCCGGGGCGCGTCTCTTTCCAACGCTCGGGTGCCGTGCGCTGCATCCCCGCGGTCCTCGGATCTTCACGTCTGAATTCCTCTGAAACGGCCCTTCTGGCTTCTCCCCCGGAGAAGGCTGTTGCCAGCCTGCAAAGTTCACCGTTCCAGCCGGAGATCTCGAGAGCGCGGAGAGTCAATCAAAAATGAAAGTATCGCCTTCTGTCCCATTCCCTTGGCTGACTTAGACTGGCTTCCTCTTGCCAGTCCCCTCCTTTTAAGAGGAGGGGAACAAAAAGCTGAATATTGTTGATTCAGCAACAGGGAAGCCAAAGCTCAGCGTCTGTAAACCCCAAAGACAGGTTGCAGCCAACTCCGAATATCTCATCTCTTTTTTCACTGGTTTTTTCCTTCCTCCGAGCTCAGCTTTCAGCAGGAGTATTTTCTTCCGGAGTGAAAATCCCCCAAACTGGGGAAGATTCTGTCCCATCAGAGGTCCCCCCCCACACTTCTCGATGTGGGGAAGAAAATAAACCCCATAGGAGGGCCTCCTCTCGGCTATCAGCTATCGTGAGACGAGTTTGAAAAAATGTTTTCAACTCTCTCGTCTTCCTCTGAGCTCTGATCCTAAAAGGAGCAGATGATTTTCCTGGAGAGAAGGCAAATTTCCATAAGCCAGATCTTACCTGTAGGTAAGAAAATTGCGTCCGTAGTCGCAAGCCCCGTTTCTCTTTCCCCGTCCCTTTTCAAGGCGGTTTTCTCTGCAAACACAAGGTGGTTTTTCTTTGCAAACACAACAGCCGGAGTGCTTCTGGGCGTGGACAAATGCTCTGCCCTTTGCCCCTGGGGAAAGGAGTCTTCTAGCTCTGATATATTACATAACAGAGTAAGACAAGGTAGATAAGAGGAAGCTGAGCATGTCAAGAGTGCTTTTCTGCTGGAGGAACAGGTGACCGCTTAACTGGACAGAACGTTTGCACCCAAGATGGGGTGAGATGGGGAATTATAACACAGCTGAATCCTTGAATGGACTGCTTTCGGGTTAGTTGTTTAGGGTGCAACAGGATCTCCTCCCCTGGAGGTGATAACTGGTACTCAGATACACTGCGCTGAGCAGCGGGTGAGCTAGATGACCTCTGGAGTCCCTTCCCACTCAACTCCATGAAATGCAAGCATTGCCCTTGCCGATGTCTTACTGTACCGGCCTCTTTATGCTACACTTTGATCTTTCAGCTTCCTTCTCAAATCTGTACTGGAGGAAGCAGATGCGGGTTAAGCTGAAGTTCCCCCCCCCCAGTGCCAGCTGGGGAATTCTGGGAGTTGAAGTCCACCCATCTCGACCTTGCCAAGGTTGGAAAACTCTGCACTGGAGCAGCTCCGACAGAGGACCCCCTCCACTTCCGAAGAAGGAAAGCTGGTCTCTTCTTGGGGCAGCCCGCTCCACAGGCAGGACAACCGTCTCCTCGCACCCAGCACCATTGGGCAGCCGATAAGAAAGAAAACTTCTTTTCTTTCCTTGTTTTCCCTTGAAAGCAAGCACAGACAGGCATTCAACCCTGAAGTGCTGGCGAGAAGGAAGCGGTGTGTGCAATGTGTCGAATTTTGTATTCTTTCCCAGCATGGATTCATCCCTTGGAGGAAAGAATGGGTATAAAAATAGCCAAATTGTTGTTTCTGCTTGCCAATCTGTTTCTGAAGCCTTCCAACATACCTGCTTGTTGCTGTGATTTTTAATTTCAGCGGAGCTTCTATTATTTTTTTCAGACACTTCGCAACCAGATTCGGCTCTACAGGGAAAAAATTTCAGCACTTTTCCCTTTCTTTAACCATCATAATTTTTTTCATTGCCATTTGAATAATCATGAAACCTGCTACCTTTTTTCAAGCTGTAGATTACATTTGGCCCCGGGACTACACTGAGCCAACCCCAGCACCGGGACGGAAGCTAAATCCAATTTATTTTCTTCATTTATCTGTTCATCTGGTATCGCCGCCTCTCTCACATCTGCAGCTTGATTCCAATTTTAAATTAAAATTCAACTGTTTAAATTAACTGGAGACGGGGAATGCAGTTACTGCCTGCCTAGGCCTTTGTCTAAAATCTTGCTGATATCTACGGCTGGCTGAGATAACATTTCCTTTCTCAGCGTTTTGGCTTGGCGGGTGAAAAAATGTTGCTGACACAGCCCGGAGTATTTTTTTTTTTTTGAATGCAAAAAATGGAGACCTCAGCTTCTTCAATGGAAAACAGATAGACTTGGGTTTCCCCTGCAGTTGCTCCTCTCAACTTTTCACACCCAAAGGCGATTTAACACCCAGCTACGAAAAAGCGACTGTTGGTCTCCTTTCCCTTCCACCAACAAGGTGTTCTCCATTTTTCCCCTCAATTTTGGATGCCAAAGATCTTGCTTCAGATTATTCTCTGCAGGTGTGTGAAGAAGAAGAAAAACAGGCAGCAATTCTCTGAGGTTTTAGCAGCTGTTTTTCTTCTTTGCATTTTATTTTATTTTATTTTATTTTATTCCTTCCCTTCCCTTCCCTTCCCTTCCCTTCCCTTCCCTTCCCTTCCCTTCCCTTCCCTTCCTTCCTTCCTTCCTTCCTTTTTTCTCTCCCCTTCTCCTTCCTTTTTCCCTCCCTCCCTCCCTCCCTTTTTTCTTTTTTCTCTCCTTCCTTCCTTCCTTCCTTCCTTCCTTCCTTCCTTCCTTCCTTCCCCCTCCTTTCCTTTCCTTTCCTTTCCTTTCCTTTCCTTTCCTTTCCTTTCCTTTCCTT